ATAAGCAGTACTGAATACTTTTAGAAAATGTGGAAGGCAAATGTTTGATTAACAAGTTGTTTACATGAGAATTTTGCTACTTACAAATAAGAGAAAGTTGAGGATGCTGAGGGTACTGATAGCTAAACTACAGCTACCATAAGATGATAGAGTTTTAAGTACTGAGAGAGATGAGCTTAAAAAATAAATAAAATAATAGACAGATTTGCTAACTTGAATGTGAAGTACAAAAGTTTCATCTTGTGTGTGAATCTGGCTGAAAAAAAAAAGAAAAAAAAAAGAAGGAAAAAGATAATGCTTTTACAAATTCCAACACTCAGAATTGCTGGGGTGTCTTGAAATAGATAAGGAGTTTATATGAAATTCAGAAATGTAAATAGTATTAAGAGGTTGACTTGCACTTTACTGTTTGCTTCCTTGTCTATTAGCCTGTCAATTTGTATTTCTGCTTCATATATTGATCTAAACCTGTAAATATTCATCTAATATGAAAATCTGAAAGGTATCATAGACTGAAGTATCAGGAAAAAAAAAAATAATTTCATGATTCAGTTATTTTAAGAATTTTTATTTCAAAGATAAAACCTGAAATTAATTTTAAAATTTCATAGAATTTCACAAGACTATTCTTTTATTGAAGTATATTTTATTCAATCTTTCATGTTTAATATATTTTCCAAAATGTGCCAATTTCCTGTCAAAAACGGTCTTAGACACAGTAGCCTTTATAATAATAACTGTAAATTAGATCAGAATTTCTTGAATTGTTTCTCAAATAGTTTGTATTATTGCCATAAATGGTACTGAAGTATTTCAACCCCATACTTAAATAACTGTGGGTTCTTTCTGGTTCATTCAAATTCTATTCATTTACTCTGCTCAAAAAGAAGATTTTTACACTTTAGTTTTATGTGCTTTTTCCTGGCATGTTTTCTTTCTTTCTTTTGGGCTGCTTGCGATACATCTATTGTTGTAGGCTTGTTCTTACATTCTTGGCTGTACCCAGCAGCAAAAAGACTCTCTCCAGAGGTAGATTCTTCCCCTCTTTCACAGAGTATTTTATTATTTGAAATTTAGTAGTCTAGAATATCTTCAAAGAATACAACATGCTGTGTCTCTTCATACAATGACTCAGTTTGAGAATCATTGTTTAGGGGATTTCCTCACAGTATTTTCAATACAGACTTGAAAGTTTTTATCAGGTAAAGTCTTCATCTTGAAATTTTTTGTTGCTTATTTCTTTTTAAGACATATTCCTACTACTGTAGTAATAGCTATGGTCTAAGCAGTGACTATCCAACCTTTTGGCTTGTCTGTGCCATAATTAATGAACAGAAATACTGTTAGGTCACATACTTACATCGCTCCAAAAGTAATGCCTCCCATAGAAAGAATATAAGATACAAAGAGCATTCTATTTAACAGAGAAAATCCTCAGCTACAAAATAATTTTTTTCAACATGGTCATCACCAAACGTGCCATCGGTCATTTGATGCAGAGGCTAGCTTCTGAGCAGGTAAGTCTGTGCTAGCAAGGGATCTGGATTAAAAAAGGCCAACCAAAAAGCTCTTTTTAAGGCTTGTTTTAAGGCTTTTTTAAAGCTTTTTGAGGCTAGCATCAGCACTGCACTTGTGCTAGGAGCCAGCAGCTTGTGGGCAGGCTCCTGAGTCACTAGGGGTGGAGCTGGCACATTAGCAGCAGGGTTTAAACACCTACCCTCACCTTCACACTTTCGCACCTGATAATAAGCCTTAAATAGTTCCTGAGAGGGTGGAAGTTAGCTTCCCCACAAGGAGCCACATTGGGTGAGAAACTATTGTTTTTGTTCATTGAGAAAGAGGAGGTTCAGCAAGCAAGTACAGCCCACACTTCCCATAGGGCACTACCTCTGTGCGTGTGGGAGGTGGGTCCAATGGTGAGAATTGTAAGTTCTGGTACCTCCTTGCTCAGGAGACCGACTTTCCTTGGCAGTCTCTGAGACCACAGGCTGAAAGATGGTCTCCATTAGACAGCGGGCTCATTCTAAGAAGACCATGGCAACCCAGATAGAAAGCTTACAGAGAAATGTTGCTGTTCAGGCCTCTGGCTGCCAGGAGTGCCTGAGCCTACTTCTGTCCGGGGAGAGCGGCAGGGACTTCACCTGTGCGAGGTGTGAGCAGGTGGATGAGATGCTCAGCCTGGTGGTGGAGCTCCAGGATGAGATGCAGAGACTTAGGACCATCAGGGAGTGCGAGCAGGAGATAACTGGTGAAGTGATTCACTGGATTACCAGAGGGAAGGGCTCTGGAAAAAAAAACCCAGACAGGTGGTGGACCCCCTACCCTGTCACAGTCAGACAGACCTCATTGATGAGAAAGATTGGAAAAGAGTCCTGACTCAGTGTTACAAGAGACACCCTTGCCTGCTCAGCCTGCTTCCACAACTCCCTCTTAGTAACAGGATCCACATACTAGAAGTTGAAGGGCAGGTGACTGGAGAGGTGATAGAGGATCTGCCTAGGAGAGAGCCCAAGGCAAGGCAGTCAACCCCATGCCTTGAGACTTGCCTCTTTTATAGTAAAGAAAGAAGGGTGGTTGTGGTGGGTGACTCCCTTCTCAGGGGAATGGAGGGCCCCATATGCAGACCTGGCCCCAGCCGTCGAGAAGTGTGCTGCCTTCCTGGGGCTCAGGTCAGGGACATAACCAGGCAACTCCCAAAGCTGGTTAGGTCATCTGACTACTTTCCGCTACTTGTAGTTCAGGTGGGTAGTGATGAAATCACTCAGACAAGCTTATGCATGATGAAAAAAGATTTCAGGGGTTTAGGGTGTTTAGTTCAAGAATCAGGAGCTCAAGTGATCTTCTGCTCTATACCTTCAGGGACAGTGAGGGACTCTGAGCGGGATCGGAAAGCACAAGCAATGAATAATTGGCTCAGAGGCTGGTGTTGAGCCAGAAACTTTGGATTCCTTGATCATGGGGAAGTTTACTCGACCCCTGGCTTGTTGTCTGTCTGTGGAACCCACCTATCTCAAAGGGGGCAGCGAATACTAGTGCAGGAACTAGTGGGGCTTATTGAGCTTTAAACTAGCTATGAAGGGGGAAGGGGACAAAACAGTCACAGACAAAAAGAAAACAGAGACAAAATAGTCTCTCAAGAGACGAGCCTAGGGCAATGATGCTTGAGCAGGGGGTGAGGCAGATGGCTTGTCTGAAATGTGTCTTTACTAATGCATACAGCATGAGCAACAAGCAGGAGTTGGAAGCAATTGTGAGTCAGGTTAATTATGACTTTGTTGCTATTTACGAAACATGGTGGGACCACTCCCATGACTGGAGTGCTGTGATAGATGACCATAAGCTCTTCAGAAGGGATAGACGAGGAAAGAAGGGTGGTGGTGTGGTCCTTTATATTAAAGACTGTTTTGAGGTTGAAGAGCTTGGATTTGGGAATGATAGAGTGGAGTGTCTATGGGTAAGGATCAGGGGGAAGGCCTGTAAGGGTGGCATCTTGGTGGGGGTCTGTTATAGACTGCCTGATCAGGACAAAGAGTTGGATGAAGCATTCTATGAGCAGCTTGCGGAAGTCACGTGATCGCCAGCACTTGTTCTGATGGGAGACTTTAACTTCCCTGATATATGTTGGAAATATAATATAGCGCAGAGGAAGCAGTCCAGGAGGTTTCTAGACTGCGTGGAAGATTGCTTCCTTATGCAACTGGTAGGAGAGCCTACCAGGGGTGGTGCCCTGCTGGACCTGGTCTTCGCTAACAGAGAAGGACTGGTGGGAGAAGTGAAGGTTAGGAACTGTCTTGGGCAGAGTGACCACAGAATTGTAGAATTCTCCATTCTTGGGGATGTCAAAAGAGTGACCAGCAAAACTACCTTCTTGAACTTTCAGAGGGTGGACTTTGATTTGTTCAGGGTGTAGCATAGGTCCATTGGGAGTCTCTTCTTAAGGGTAAAGGGGCCCAGAAAGCCTGGACGCTCCTCAAGACAGAAATCTTAAAGGCACAAGAACAGGCTGTCCCTGAATGCCTTAAGGTGAGCCACAGGGGAAGATGATCGGTGTGGATGAGCCAGGAACTACTGTTGAGACTCAGGGAGAAAAAGAGAGTCTACGTCCTCTGGAAGAGGGGACAGGCTACTTGGGGAGATTACAAAGAAGTAGCTAAGGTATGCAGGGAAGAAGTTAGGAAGGTGAGAGCCCAACGTGAACTCAGATTGGCCTCTGCAGGAAAAGACAATAAAAAATCCTTTTATAACTATATCAATGGCAAAAGAAGAACCAAAGATAATTCTCATCATATACTTGATGCAGCAGGGAATGTGGTCACTGAGGACAAGGAGAGGGCTGAGGTCCTCAATGCCTTCTTTATATCTGCCTTTAATAGCCAGACCAGTTATCCTCTGGACTTTTTATGCCTTGGTCTGGAAGTCTGGGGTGCTGCTCAGAATATGCCCCCAGGGATTCCAGTGGAGATAGTCAGAGAGCTTCTCCTCCATCTGGACTGTCACAAGTCCATGGACCGGATGGGCTGCATCCTAGGGTGCTGAGGGAGCTGGGGGGGGGTGATTGCCGAGCCCGTTTCAGCCATCTATCAGCGCTCCTGGTTAACTGGTGAGGTCCTAGAGGATTGGAGGCTTGCTGACATGACTCCCATCTTCAAGAAGGGCTGTAAGGAGGATCCGGGAATTATAGGACTGTTAGCCTGACCTTGGTACCAGGGAAGGTTATGGAGCAAATCATCTTGGATGAGATTGCATGGCATGTGTGCAGTGTCCAAGGGATCAGGCCCAGCCAGCACGGGTTCGTGAAAGGCAGGTCATGCTTGACCAACCTCATCTCTTTCTATGACTGGGTGACCAGACTGGTAGATGAGGGAAAGGCTGTTGATGTAGTCTACTTAGACTTCACTAAAGCTTTTGACACAGTCTCTCACAGGCTTCTTCTGGGAAAACTGGCTGCCCGTGGCCTGGACAGTGTCTCGCTCCAATTTTTAGGATGGAGAGGAGGTTAATTAACTCTTAATTAACTCTTGGGCAACCTCTCTCCACGTCCATGCTTTGTTTCCTGACTGCAGATGGTTGGGGGTTACAGTTCCTTCTAACGCTGGCCTGGCTGGGCTCTCTCTCCCTGAGGTATTAGCTGTATTTTTCCTTGCAGTTGAATACCTGTAGGTTTTAACCACTCTGGACGCCCTCTAATTAAAGCAGTCATTCTCTCAGGATCAACAGGATCATCATAGGTGATTCATGGTGTGGCTGCAGCTTTCTATCATACATCATTTGGAGACAAGCAGCCTTTTGAACACTCTCTACTAACTCATCAGTTGTTCCAATGATGGCAAGAGGGTCTCCCCGTTCTAAAGGGTTGAGACCACCTGCCCAATAGGCAGCCCTTTGTGTTAAGGACCAGGGAGCACGACTGTTGCCAGTAGTTAAAAATACTCCTGGTCCCCTATAACCTTCCGCCTCCTTTTCTGTTAGCAGAATCTGGTCTCCACCAGTGAGGCTAACCCTCCACACATATTCTGTTTCAGATTCCGTTGGAGAGCGGTGAAAATCTTTCTTCAATTTTGCTAGTTCAGTAGCTGAGAAGGGAATTTCTTTAACATTCATTTGAGGATGTAGATCCTCACTGTTATCAAATGTATATTCAGTTTTTATCAAAGGATGCATCTGGGCTGGAGAGGCCTTTAATTTGTCTAACCTTGCCTTCATTTCTTTCAATCCTTCTAGAGGATAGATTTTTTCTTGAGGCAAATTATGAGCAATAGTATCGCTGGCATGCTTACATGTTAGCAGTTCCTTAAAAGCCATTTGCAACAAAGCCGAATTACGTTTCTCTCTTTCTAATTGTTCCTCGAGGTTCACTGTTTGAGTCTGCAGAGTTCTCACCAATTCTTGTGTTACTTTAACCGATTCCTGCAGTGCTTGTATAGTTTGGGTTTCTGCCAAATGCTTTTCATCTTGGAACTCCACAGCTGCTTTCAAAGTAGCCCCGAGTACGGCACAAATAAACGACTTTCCTTTTCCAGCCTGAGTACGAGCATTCTTTTGCAGGATACTACTACAGTCTGAAACACTCTTCAAGTTATACCAGTTCTGTCGTGCCCAATCCATACCTGATAAAGAGGGTCGAGTACCATGTTTTTCTAAAAGATCAAATAATACATCTTCACTTTTCATGGTGGCAATGCTGTCACTCATTTTTCAATACAATGAAAGACCAACACTAAGGGAGGTGGAGGTGCACCTATTCAAAAGCTCAAGTGACTCCTTATCTCCCCAGGGAAACAGACACTTTTCAAATGCAAATGCTCAAAGCACTCTTCCCTTTCTCTGAGGGGAGCACACAAAAAGGTCCAAATTTCACACTTAAGTTACAATATACTTAAATCACAAAATGCAAAGAGGTCTTCCCGAGGAGGCACACACGTAATCAAAATTAATTCATACGTCCCCGAGAGGTATACACATAAACTGTAAAGTTTCAGAATGCGAAGCGGTCTTCCTGGAGAAGGACTCACATCTAAGTTTTCAAAAATATCTCTCCATGCAACTCCAGGAGGTGCACACAGTGAAAGTTTCAGACTATATCTGGAAGGACGACACTCTCACGATGGGTATCCTGCCGACTATGCCATTAAATAAATGTCTCGCTCCAATTTATAGGAGGGAGAGGAGGCAATGAAACTTGTGAGGGGTCTGGAGCACAAGTCTTATGAGGAGTGACTGAGGGAACTGGTATTGTTTAGTCTGGAGGCGGCTAAGGGGAGATCTCACTGCACTCTCCCACCTCCTGAAGGGAGGTTGTGGTGAAGAGGGATTTGGCCTCTTCTCCCAGGCAATGATCAGGACATCGGATAATGGCCACAAGTTGTATCAGAGGAGGTTTAGGTTGGACATTAGGAGGAATTATTTCTCTCAGACAGTGGTCAGGCACTGGAATGGCCTGGAGTTGCTGTCCCTGGCAGTGTTCCAGAAGTGTGCTGCAGGACCATGTGCTGCATGATATGATTTAGTACTAGTGGTAGCAATGATGATGAGGAGACGGTTGGACTAGATGATCTTGTAGGTAGTTTCCAACCTTGTGATTCTATGATTCTATGATTAGCTATGCATTTTCACCAGTGATGAACAAAAGCCCACATGCTATGCTCATAACAATCTGCAACAACAGTGGTGACACACTGTCACCACTGCTGAAACATAGCACCCACCACCTCACTGTGTTTACATTCGCTGTTTGGTCTCCATAAACATTCAGAAAGTTTTGGTGAATTTAAAGGGGTGCAACTTCCTTCTGCATTGAGGAATCCATTGACACTCGTTTGCTTCATACACATTTCCATCTCAGATGTTATTTTGTCAAAGTCTGTTCTGCTGCCATCTGTCACACAGCAGCAAAATGTAATGGAATATTAGTGGGAAGGGTAAACCTCTATTGCAATATCACATCAAGTTCTGGTATTATGGGTCAACAAAATAAAGCCGAAGGCATTTCTTTCAGAGCAACCCTTACAAAGTATACAATATTTTTTATATGTTAGTAATAGAACAATCTAATTTTAAATATTTTTTCTTAAAACAAAGAGAGAGAGAGAGGAACAAACACAAGAAACTAATGGTATATTTTACTTTTTTTTTTTTTTTTTTGTGAAACTAACACACCAGTTTGGTTTGATGGCAGCTGTTGCAGTTCTTCATGAGGTCTCAGGTATTCATCAGACTTTTTGATGAACTTTTACCTTTCCTGTACTTCATCATTGTCAATAACTGTTCACAATGTGTGTACTGCCAAAAAGCAATGATGCAAATAAGGTGTGAGTGTGAAGCAAAGGATGTTGTTATCTGCTAAGATAAACTGAACACACAACTTCAGAAGATGTATTTGTTAGGTATTACTAAACTGATCTTGAAAATGATTTGTTGTTTGTGGTCTCTGCTGGTTTGGTTTGTAACCTCCAACTGAATAAACATACATCAATATGACAGAATAGCTTTTGTGGATTTGCTTCAATTCATAATTTCTTTTTCCCTATTTTTTACGCTTTGGTAAAACAACATTCTAAAGCAATGAGATCTTGAGTCTTACCCCTAAAGCCACAAGCTTTCCTACCTTTGACACCCAGCTATTTAACTTTCTTTCCCTACAGGTCTTCAGCCTCTTCTTGAGAATAATAGTTCTTACAAGAAGAAGACTGCAAAAAATCTCTTCTAACTGCACAGAAAGTATGCTATGGCAGTACATATACCTCTTTTCAGTGAGCTGCATTCTGGCCTTTTGACTTCACACAGCTTCCAGATAGCTATTCAGTCTACTGGCATTTCTTGTTATTTAGACATGTTTCACATTCCCCACTTATTTTTCCAGCTGTGCTTCAGGCCTTATTTCGCTTTATCTAATGTTCATGTTCTCATTTTCCACCTTTTGATCAATTACTTAACTCTTAATTTTCCATGCAAATAAATTCAAGCGCAATTTTGCACCAATAATCTATTTCCATGTAGATATAGGTGTCCATGGAGAAAAGCCTGATGTAATTCAGTGTACTCACTCTGAAGTGAGATTTTTGTCCATTGTTCTCAGTTCTCTTGACCATGATTAACTCTCAGTGAAAATTTTTTCTTCTTTGGAGAAAGATATGAGCTACATTCAAAAACAATACTCTGAAGTACATATTGAAAATGAATACAAAGAAGCAATCTTAGAATATTTCTTTCTTCTTTTTCTTTAGCATTCTGTTTGAATTTATTCACTATAGAAGGAGACATGAGGCCTAAAGAAACAAACACTTGGAAAGTACGGGGAAGAATATCTCTGCACGTGAAGTTTCCTGTACATAGATGTGAAGCACAGAAGTAAAACTGTCCAGGCATTCATTATAAAATATATCAATTCTCAAAAACCAGTATAATGGTATGGAATAGCATGTAAGCTACTTTCAGACAGTTTATGAAACAAATCCTGCCAGGCACTGTGGAGACTTTATTTGAGTTGAGTAATATTTAGTCAACTGTTGCAGTTAGCTTCTAGTCAGAGGAAGAGCATCAGGGAATAGAAGCCCCCGAAGGTATATACAGTGAGACATAGCAGTAGAAATCAGAGACCCTGCTTTCTGATTTGGGTTGGGAAATAAAGGTAAGACATTAGGAGTGAGATGGACTGATTTTAGCTTAGGTAGTAACAGCCAGCATGTGCTGGTATCACAGATTAGCAAAAGATTTCAGAATCCATATGCAGTACTGGGACCCTTCAAGTCTTCTCTCTCATCCCCGTTCCAAGAGACCTGAAGCTTCAAATGCATTAATCCCTTTACATTAATACCAGAAGTAAAGAAAAAGTATTCACAATTCACAAAAGTATTCACTGATTCTTTCACCATCCACTAATCATTCCTAAATATTTTAATACAATGAGGCAACATTAAATAAAAAATTGCAGTCAACACATGAAGTAATCAAAAGCATCTCTCCACAAATCTTACATTAAACATTCTCTTTTTTACAGTAACCACAAGTTTTAAAGTGTTCTGCTAATTTCATTCTTTTAAGACTCTACACCAGAGCATGGAAATTATTTTAAACAGAAAATAGGTAGCTGTTGCTTTTATAAAAGGCTCTAAAAGCCTTTCATCTTCCTTCCTCACAGCATGCTGGGGACAAAAAAAAAAAAAAAAAAAAATCATAAAAACAGAATAACTGCCAAAACAAATAGAGAGCAAATACATACACACCACTGCAGCCTCATTAAAAGTTCCTAAAAGTATCTCTGTCAACACAGAAGAACTGCTTTTATCCTGAAGGTAAAACAGTTTCTGCTATATTTTCTTGTCTTCACCTCGTTCTTTCAACTTCATTTGTAAATTCACTTACCTAGAATACAAAAGGAGAAAAAGAGTTATCTTAATTCTGCTAGGAAAATGAACACACACTCACAAACAAAGGAAAAAAAAAAAAAAAAAGGTGTAAGTCTAGTAAATGAGTAAAAAAAAAAAAAGAAAAGAATGAAGACAGGTAAAATGAAAATATACATATATAATTAAATTGTCAAATAATTTGTATTAATAATTTAGAAGTGCTTTTACTGATACTAAATCACTTTGTTATTCCCCTCTCTCTTTAGCCCTTCTGCTTAGCTTTATTCTGTGACTTTCTGTTAAGATTCCTTCAATATATATCTCGTAGATTTTAAGCTATTGTAATGGGGATGCATGACAAGGTTTTGGCAGAGGAGGTGCAGGGGTGCACCAAGTCTGTTTTGCCTCTGTCCTTATGTTAACCCATCAACTTTTTCATTCCATTTTCTTCCTCTGTCCTGTTGAAGTGGGGGAGTGAGAGAACTTTCCTTTCCAAGCAAGAACAGATACTGCTGAGGATTGTTCTCCCAGTAATATTCATATCTTCTTTTTATTCATTTTTGAATATATCTATGTTCAGTTTAATGATTCATCAAATTTCAACAGCTACTTTGTAAGTGATGTTGCAGACTGACCCTACTGTCTTTTCATAACGTTATGGGCAATCCAGACTAGAAGTAGAAACAATATTTGGAAGCTGATACCCAGTTGTCTATATAAAATAGCAACTTTTCACCTACTTCAGCTACTGTCTTGGTAATGGAATTGATTTTGTTTAGCTTCATATCAGTTTAAAAGAAAAAAAAAAAAAGAAAAAGAAAGAAAAAATGAAAAAAAGGGAACGGGGGGGGGGGGCGGGGGGGTAGTAGTAGTAGCAGTAGTAGTCCCTCCCTGGCCCCACAAAATGGGAAGAGAAAGGGAAAAGGGACAGGGAGATGGGAGCTGGTCTCAAGGAAGGGGGGAAAAAAAAAAACAACAAAAAACCCCAGCAGCAACGACCTGTAGAGGAAAACTTATTTTACTAACTATGATATTGAAATGTAAGATAACACAATATAATACAATCTAATTGAAATTGAGACTAATAAACTAAATAAAATAGGAGAGAGAGAGAGTTCCTGAGTCTGAGTCAAACCTGAAAAGATTGGAATGGCTAGGAAAGCTCCTTCCAGCACCCCCTGCCAGGCAGTAAGAGACTGCCCCACCATGAAGGGCCAGATCCCATGACTTCTGTAATGTATATGGATAGGTACTTGGAATTGGAGCATTAACACTTTCTCTCTCAGTGCGCTACATGATATTATGATGTGGAATACTGAAAACCAAAAAAAAAAAAAAAACCACCACAAAACCATGACAAATATGAATATCTGTCCCTCTGCAATCTCTGTCTCTCTGCCTATCCAGAATAATTTTAAAAGGAAAATAATGTTGGATTTTCTTTCTCCTACTGCCTGACTAATGGAGATAATCCATGATTATCTTCTTCCTTACATCCAAATAGCAAAAATAAATCTATTTATCATAATCTGTGTTTCAAATCCAATCAAATTCCAATTTAGTACAGAGTAACATAAATGTCATCTCCACCAGTAGAGGAGAATGATTGTTTAATATGATTGAATATAGTTCTCTGTTACCTGTTTGAAAATTGGTTCTGCTTCTATTGTTTTAAACCAGAGTTCTGCATGACATAAATAATCCAAATAACTTTAATATCATCTCCTTCTAATACCTTTCAAGGTAGCTTT